AAGCTTTGACCTTTGCCAAAAATTTTCAATCTCTTAGTTTTCTTGAATCTCACATTGGAATATTACAAGGGAAGTGTTAAGCCTATTACTAGAAGCTGGCTCTTTCTCTTGCATTAGGAAATTTATTTATACCTTGCACGTTTTACTCTCAGCATTCATTAATTTTCCGAGTTGAGGGATTGATGTAGTTCGTGTTACTCAGTATTCTAAGTGCATGGCTACTGAGTGCCTTGAAGGCTGTTGAATCCTGGAACAACATTGATTTTCTGTACTACACCAAACATTATCCAAATGAGGCAACATTCTGCTTAAGGACAATGTTATAGACACACCATAGCCAATAAGTTTTCAAACTCCATTTACCTTCATATCCTCTGCACATTCATAGTAGCATCCACTTTCATGCACAACACCTTAAGCAGAATTAGTTATTCCTTTTCTATTTGTGTTTGCTCTAATTTTACAATGGATGCTATTAGAATTGTAATTATTGATGTCTAAAAAATTGAACCTTTTGATGGAACTCATTTTGTACATTGGCAACAAAAGTTTACTCTCTACGAGACATCCATGGTGTTGCTTACGTACTTGATGACTCTCTACCAAAAAACCTATATGAACCTACAAAATTTGCATTAACTCAAACCTAGACCCTCACTGATAAGATTTGTCGGCATGCACTTCCAAATGCTATGACAAACCAATTGTTTGATGTTTACCGACTGTACCCCATCGCTACTGAAATTTGGAATGCCCTTAAAATTAAATATATTATTGAGGATGTTGGGAACAAAAAATGTCATTAGAAATTTCATGTCCTTTGCCATGTCTGAGGAGAAATCTGTCTCATCACAAATCCATGACTACTTTTATGTTGAGTTGCATACTCTTAATGAATCTTTACTAATTTCATGATTGCTTATTCTTTGATTAAGCAGCTCACACTTGTATTGTGAGCTTGGAGGTGAGGCTGCCTCCTATGAAAACTTAAGTTAGTTTTCTAGTAAGTTCATAAAACCAAGACGACGCAGGGCCGATTAACGCCACTTTGTTGAACATGCATGAATTATAAGATAGTTTTGTGGGTAGCAAATCAATAGATCTACAATAAAGAGAACTGGTTCATGGGCGCTTAGCCCATCAGATCTCTATAGATCCTAATTGCATACCCTAATGTAGGTTCATAGTCTAAAAGACACTTACATCATTGCATGTTTGTTTTAACATCTCAACTTGGTAATTTCATCATCACATTAAACTTTTGAATCATGTGGAGGATTGTTGTTATTTGTTTGAAGTGCGATTCAAAAGTTTAGTCAGGCTAGTTTTGTCATTTTAACTTTTTGTCTTTTGTCTTTATTTGCACACACCCACACAGGTCACATGTTTGCCAAAAATTTTAAAATTCTGTTTTCCTCCACTCTTGAGCCTAACTTTTCAATCTCCTAGTTTGCTTGAATTCCACATTGAAAAATTACAAGAGAAGTGTTAAGCTTATTAATAGGAGATGGCATTTCCCTTATGGGGACCCAAATGGGGTACACATACATATGGTCTCATGACTTGGGGTGTGTAGACACCTCATTTTTGCACTCTTTAGTCTTTTAGCATTTTGAACTTCAAGCATGCTTCATCTAACCTCTTAGTCAATCCGGGGGCATTTTTGGAATTTTACAAAAATTGGGGCCTCAAGGATCTAAGACCATAGGTACGTAGTCCAAAAATCTGAATTTGATGACAGTAAGATCACCCAAATCCGACACCGTTTACCCTTTCATCTTTAGACCCAAAGTCGAAACCAATACCGATCGTTCGATTAGAGCCATTTTGACCTTGAACCTCATTTCAGGCCAAATTAGAAATCCAAAACCATAGGTACATAATGCCCAAAAATCCAAATCCAATGACACCAAGATCACCCAAATTCAACACTGTTTACCCCTTCATCTTAACACCCAAAGCAGAAATTGATTCCAATCGTCCGATTGTGATCATTTTGATATTGAACCACATTTCACATCAAATCAAAACTCAAAATCATAGGTATGTAGATCCCAAAAGTCCAAATCTAACAACATCAAGATCACCCAAATCCAACACTGTTTACCTCTTCATCCTAAGACCCGAAGCCAAAACTAATTCCAATCGTCTGATTGGAGTCATTTTGATTCTGATACTCATTTCACATCAAATCCAAAATTTAAGACCATAGGCACGTAGAGCCCAAAAATCCAAATCCAACAACACTAAAATCACTCGAGTCTAACACCGTTTACCCCATCATCTTAAGACCTGAATTCGGAATCGATTCTTATCATCCGATTGGAGACATTTTGATCTTGAACCTCATCTCACATCAAACCAGAAATACAAAACCATAGGTATGTAACTCTTGAAAATCTAAATCTAACAACACTAAGATAACCCAAATCTGACATTGTTTACCCCTTCATCTCAAAACCCAAAGTCAGAACCGATTCCAATGTCCAATCTAGATCATCTTTGATCCTGAACCCTATGCCTCATTAAATTTGAAATCCAACATTTTAGATGGATGGAACTCAAAATTCTGAGTCCAA